CCGACGCTGTCGTTGATGAAATCCGCCTTCTCCTTGCCCTCGAAAACCTCCAGATTCTGCTCTCGTATGGTGGAGAAAGTCTGCTCGAGGGAGTTTCCCACGAAATCTTCCACAGCGTCCGCGTTTCGATTTACGCGGTGTGGTGGTCGAAAACTTGTGGTTCTCGGCTTCGCCACTCAGTCGTGACTTCCTTGTTCTTCTGGTGAGTTTGATTTTTGGGTTTGAGATGGGATTCAGGGTCGGGTACGGCATCAGACAAAACAGCAGCGAAGTGTAACGGAGGTCTCACGCTCCGGGACAATATACTCACCGGAAAAAACGATAGTACACATCGGAGGAGGTCGAATTTAAGCCGGTGTGAAGCAATGAAGATGTTGGCACCTTAAATATCGATTCGGGTCATTTGATTTTTCTTGCGAATTTTTGGTTTTATTCTATAAACTCGAATATATTGTGGATGGTTTACTACGGTTTCAGTTTGGGACGAAATTCGATTTTAATCAAATCTCTACTGCCAGCGCTCTCTAGAAGAGGACATGTGTTAAGCTATTTTACTGACGTATGTTCCACTTGTGAAAAATGTTTACAATATCCTCCTCTTCTATGCATCTGTTCTAGACTTTTTCAGTTTTCTAGAACTTCGTGTTTATGAATCACCTCCCTTTTAAGGAATTTGCCATAAGACAAACCTTCATGCCTCCTCCGTTTTAGGTCTTTGGTTTTCCATCGGAAGTTTAAACTTTTATCCGCAGTTTTTTTCATTCTCTTCCCTGATTGTGTTGAAATTGGTAAGAATTAGGCTAAAACTAAATCTACGAATTTGGTTGATGTTTTGTATCCTTTATTTTTACGGTTCATTGGCGCTACCTTGGTAGGTAATTCTCAGACAGAGATAGTTGAGAAAAATATTATGTAAATTCAGAAGAATTCTTGATAACCTAATCGACAGGTAATTCTTATACAGTGATAGTAATGATCAGGTCAGCTATGCAATCATTCGTAACAAAGAGATATGAATAACCAACGAAAGACGAAGATAGGATCATATAACTAATTTAACCAATAGAAGCTATGATCTAGAGTCACTTTCAATAATATGAATTATCTATTGTTTGTTTCCCTCTTGAATTAATTGAGAATCAGATTGTAAAGTTAAAGTGAAATAATATTTTAAATATAACATAATGTCTGTTTTGACGATGAATTATTTTTCAATTTTAATTATTTTATAAATTGTATTTATATCAATTTGGACACCATTAGTAATGATTAACCAACGAAGTTTTTTCAATTAGTTTGATACTTAAAAAATTAAAAAATATATTATCTGCGTATTATGCGAAGAATCATCTGATTTTATATTATAGCTATAACAAAAACAATATTAGCTTATCTTTATCATTCAAGATTTTGATTCAAAACAAAAAAAAAACTGAAATTTTTTAAACAAACATTTCTTTTGCCAAGGGATTGATCATATA